TCCCCATTATATTTTGCTTTTAATATGTCTAATTTTCAAAGGGAAGAATCCATACCTCGCGAAATGGAACATTCCGACCGTATAAGATGGTGTGATATTGACAGCACACATTTATATGCAGGTATCCAAGGTGATCGTGACGTATTGAGTGGTTTGACAAATGAAATAGCGACTCCGGATATTTCTATTGATGATGTGGTTTCTCGGTTCTCATTGTTTATGAACGGGAAAATGCGTGAATCAGTAGTAAACTCTAAAAATAGAAAACGTAGTAAAAATCATTCGCGAATGAGTAAACGCTGGTTTAATGAGGAATGTTATGCGGCAAGACAAGAGTTTAGGCATTATAGGAATATTTTTACACATAATAAAACTGATGTTAACCGCATAAATTTTGTTCACGCAAGAACAATATATACTAAAACAAAAGAAAAGTCCAAAAAGACTTTTAAACGTATTGAGGGAGATAGGATCAATAAATTGGCTCAGACAGAGCCTCGTAAATTTTGGAAACATGTAAAAAGACCGATTAGTAAAAAGTCCACCCAAGCGGATACATGTAGTTTAACATTAGAAAATTTAAGAGCACATTTTAGCCACCTGTTAGGTGAAAATGTCGTCAATGAGGAATTTGACCCTTTTGATAATTATTTAAACACTGAATTATTTAGTGAAGAGTTTGATGTTGATATTACATATGATGAATTACACCGTGCAGTTTTTAGCCAAAATAATAATAAATCCCCAGGAATTGATGGTTTACCTGCAGAACTGTTTAAGTCGTCCTTTGATTTAATTCATCCCTTCTTGCTCAAATTATATAATAGGGCATATAACAATGGTGAGTACCCTGTTCAGTGGGGGAAAAGTATCATTACTCCCATCTTTAAGAAGGGTGATGTAAATAATGCAGAAAACTATCGAGGAATCTCATTGATACCAATTCTTGGAAAAATTTACTCACAGATATTGCTGAACAGACTCACTAAGTGGTCTAATAAGTATGACAAATTATGTAAAAATCAATTTGGGTTCCAAAAGGGCAAATCTATTATAGATTGTATTTTTATTTTGCATTCGGTTATAAATAAGGTGTTGAATGCTGGTAATAAATTGTACTGCTGCTTTATTGACTATGAGCGTTGTTTCGATAAAATTGATAGAAATTTTCTGTATCACAAACTTCTTACAGAAAATGTTCACTGTAAGTTGGTAAAGGCATTGAAAGCAATGTATTCCACTGTTAAATCATGTGTAAGATATAATAATGTATACTCTGACTTCTTCGATTCACACGTCGGTTTGAAACAGGGCGACCCGTCATCGCCGTTACTTTTCATGTTTTTCGTGAATGACTTGATGAATAATGTCAATTTAGACATAGATGACATCTTTAGTATAAATGAAATGAAGCTGTTTCTTTTACTCTATGCCGATGATCAAGCTGTTTTTGCCAAGTCTCCAGAAAGCTTGCAGTTATTATTAAATGATATTGAAAATTATTGCACTGCCTGGGGTTTAAAAATAAACACATCAAAAACCAAGATAATGATATTTCAAAGAGGGAGATTAACTCATCATGACTTCTTTTTATATGGTACTAAGTTAGAGGTAGTGAATAGTTTTAAATATCTTGGTATTAACTTATATAGAAATGGTAATTGGCATAGAAGTCAAAAGGATATTGCTAGACATGCCTCATTTGCATTGAATAACTTATTTGTAATTTTTAAATCTATTGATTTACCAAATTCACAGAAATGTAGATTGTTTGATATCTTAGTGGCCTCTATCCTACATTTTGGTGGAGAATTGATGGGTTCATATCCATGTACTGACTTAGAACTTGTTCATACTAAATTTTTACGAAGATTATTGTTAGTGAAACGTTCAACAAATTTAGAGGCTTTATATGGAGAACTTGGCAGGGTACCACTTATTGTAATTCGTAAGTTAAGAATGGTCAAATACTGGATTAAAATTTTAAATTCACCCCATGATAGTGTTTTATACAAAACATATGAAATGTTGAAAATTGATGCAGATAACTCTACATCATATAATGGTAGAAACTGGGCATTTCAGCTTAAAGAATTATTACAAGAACATGGCTTAAGTAATGTATGGGACAACCAGGGAGAGGTTAATTATTCTATGATAAAACAAAGAATTTTTGATATGTATTATCAACAATGGTATTGTAGTGTTACCAATTCCAGTAAACTACAGGCATATAGTTCGTTTAAACAGGATTTTAAGTTTGAGAAGTATTTAGATAACATAGGGACTGCTAAATTTCGAATAGCACTCACTAAGTTTAGGGTTTCATCTCATCAATTGTCGATCGAAACGGGGAGATATCATAATATACCACAGTCTGAACGCAAATGCCGTTGTTGCCAGATGAACGTTGTAGAAACAGAGTATCACTTCCTTCTGGTTTGTCCGATGTATAGGGAATTAAGGGGAAAATATTTTAAACCATATTTTTGCCATTGGCCAACACTTAACAAGTTTGAAAAGTTAATGTCATCAAGTATAAAGTCTGTACAATTAAATTTAGCAAAATATATATATTTCGCTAACATAAAGAGAAATACTGTTCATTAGTCTTACACTGTTTGTTTTTGTATCTAACATTTCTGTAACAGAAATATATTAATGATTACTGAAGATGTACTTAACTGAATTTTTCACAATATGTGTACTTTGCTAACTTAAAGATAGACTTTGTCAGAATATGAATTATTATTATATTATCTATTGAGTTTGAGAACACTATTCATTTGTAATCTATACAGTTTACTATTGAACCAAAAATAAAGTAATGCTTACAGAAGATGTATTTCGTCAAGTTTGAGGAAGTGTTTTATTGAGTTTGGCAGAATAAATACTTGGCCATCTTAAAGAGAAACATTCTTCCTAAATCTTATAAAGTTTGCTATTGTACCAAATATTTAATGGTTATTGAAGAAGTATTTCATTGACTTTGGCATTGTTCAATGGTCTTACATATATACAGTTTATTATTGCAATTAATTAATTTATTTATTTTACTTGTACCAAAAATACTTCAATGCTAACTCAATATGTGCTTCGTTGAATTTGGCAAAATACATACTTAGTCAATTAAAAGAGAAAAACAATTCATTAGTCTCATACAATCTGTTACTGTATTCATCACTTTTTTATACCAGAAAACATTTAAATGCTTACTTAAAAAATGCATTTCACTTATTAATGTTAAGGAAGAAAGAGGACTTATTATTGCCTTTGCACTAATGCTCACCATTTGTATATATGGGATGTGTATTTGATTTGTTCATCATTTCTTGCTATAAACATTTGTACAATGTTTAATGCTGAATAAAATCTATTGTCATTGTCATTGTCATTGAATATTTTCAAGCTTTTCATTTAAGATATAATAAAAGAGTTATTTTTATGTAGTCGAAACGTAAATATTGAATTTAATAACAAACCACATATCATTTCCAAACTCAACTATGATTATTTTAGAAATTCATATCAAAATTTACAATTATTTGCTGCATGATTTTCAATTCAACAGAAAACGCAATATCGTACTGATGTCAATCCGATATACAAAATACTTGCATTGATAGGTCATGTAGGCCCGACGCAGACCCGATGTATCTTTTTTGATCCAACACGAAATGTGGTTAATATTGTTCTAGTAATTGAAATCATACACAAGACAATTTATTCATATTATTAAGTAAACAATGGCATTGCAATTAGAATTTTTCAAAATACTCAATATGTCGGCACTGCAGCGGCCCGATGTCGGCCAATAGTCGGCATATTTTGCCGACATGCCGACATTAATCCTATATCGGGCCGATATAGTGATGCTGGCTGGGTAATGTTTTAATGTGGGAAGCCCAGTTATTATTTCGGTACGTATAACCCCGGTCTGTATCGGATTTTAAAAATAAATACGTTTTCTTTATTAAAGATGAATCATTTTGTTTCAAGATTTTAATGCAATATTTGATCATATTTATTTTTCTGTATATATGAAGTGGAAATCGACCTAGTTCACCATATAATGCCGTTAAATTAGTCGAACTTTTTACACAGAGTACTTGTCTCAGAAACTTATTGTGTATAAGTTCGATGTCAGCTGCCTTATGCATACCACATATTTCTGAGCCAAAAAATAGTATGGAACCAACCAATGAGTCAAACAATTTGCAAGTATAGTATAGTTATAGTATAGTATAGTATAGTATAGTATAGTATAGTATAGCATAGCATAGTATAGTATAGTATAGTATAGTATAGTATAGTATAGTATAGTATAGTATAGTATAGTATAGTATAGTATAGTATAGTATAGTATAGTATAGTATAGTATAGTATAGTATAGTATAGTATAGTATAGTATAGTATAGTATAGTATAGTATAGTATAGTATAGTATAGTATAGTATAGTATAGTATAGTATAGTATATAGTATATAGTATAGTATAGTATAGTATAGTATAGTATAGTATAGTATAGTATAGTATAGTATAGTATAGTATAGTATAGTATAGTATAGTATAGTATAGTATAGTATAGTATAGTATAGTATAGTATAGTATAGTATAGTATAGTATAGTATAGTATAGTATAGTATAGTATAGTATAGTATAGTATAGTATAGTATAGTATAGTATAGTATAGTATATAGTATAGTAAAGTATAGTATAGTATAGCATAGTATAATATAGTATAGTATATAGTTTAGAATAGTATAATATAGTATAGTTTAGTAAAGTATAGTATAGTATAGAATGGTGTAGTATAGTATAGTATAGTATAGTAAAGTATAGTATAGTATAGTATAGTATAGTATAGTATAGTATAGTAAAGTATAGTATAGTATAGTATAGTATATAGTATAGTATAGTATAGTATAGTATAGTATAGTATAGTATAGTATAGTATAGTATAGTATAGTATAGTATAGAAGTATTATTATAGACGGTGCTAGGGGCGTGAGGGATGTTGCACGTATCTATTATCCCTCATGTACAGACTCCATCAAACCGAGTTTGCAATTCTCTTGTAATTTTGTTGTGATTAATGCTTCCGAGGGATCACTTTGTTTCCAATTTTTTTATGTAAGTCAAGGATGAAGACGGTCAATATCCGTGCGAATTGGCAAATAATTTGAACATTTTACTAAAAAATACCAGATTTTAAGCAAGAGGCGATAAAAAAATGGCCTAATATTTAGTTTTTGAAACATTTTACAAGATGTAAGGCAAACATAATCATACACCTAAAATCCAATTTTTAAAGATGAAAATTACCATTTTGACGAGTGTTTTTGTAGTATATACAAAAGTTTTAGTTCCTTCCTCTTAAATATTAGATTGTTGTTTTCCCGTTGATTCATATCAATACTAACGTAAAGGCATACCAAACCCTTCTGGAAAATATTCCAGTGTAATTGTAACAACCGTACTATCGAACCTCCGATCTGCTGACATAATTGAAGATTGGTCTAGTCCTCGGCTCGAAACTACAAAGCATTGCAAATTATACTCTCTCATTAGTGCAATGAACGTCAGGTTATCGCCGTATGTCCCATCCTTAGACATATTATCAACGTATCCATCAACTGTCTCAACATGCACATAAGATTTATTAAAATATCGGTTTTCAATGATATGATGGACTGCTTTTTGACGTAAATTCGTCTCTGTATATTCTATGGAATGCCACAGTACATCCCCGAAGGAGAACTATATTTCCTATATAAATCCATAGCTTTCTTCTTCGTCGGCTTTTTGTGAATTTCCGACGAAGCTGAACCAATGTCCTTCTCCTCATTCGGCTGCTTCGTTAAATTCTGACGGAGAACAAATGGTGTTCTCCTTCGACGCTTCTTTTTTCTCCGACGAAGAAGAACTTTTGGTTGTCTTCTTCTTCGGGTCTTTGATTAATTTCCGAAGAAGAAGAACTTATATGTATATATATATGTGGAAATTCACAAACAGCCGACGAAGACGAAAGCAATGGATTTATATAGGAAAATATAGTTCTTCTTCGGGAATGTACTATGGCTTTCCATAATATTCCCATGTTACTTAATTGATGCAACGGCAAATTGGCAACTGCCATCCGGGATCGAATCAAATGCAATATCTAAACCTTCAGACAGCTCGAGGTTTTCGCCGTGCGTTAAAATCTGGTAATACGTTTTTCTATGGTTTTGCTTGTCTGAGCCGGACTGATTCAATTTCTCATTCGATGCATTTTCCACGTTGGTTTTTTCGTCGCTTTTCTAACGTAACGGTTAGTCTAGTTTTATTTTCGACTCCAACTTTTATAACGACACCAAGCTCCTGTTTTTTTAGTACTTTGAATTACACAAGATAATATCCCCATTTTTTTACTTCTTCGACTTTTCCCTTGACAATATATCTTTTAATTGGCACCGTTGATTTTCGAAAGGAAAGCGAATCAGTACTTTCTCTCCTCCTTTGTATTAGCTTGGCGGAATCCCATTTTTATCAGCGATTTGTATTTTTATTTGCTCGATGTTTTGTTTTCTTTATTTCACGACTACTACGCCGTTCCTTAGTGAACATGTGACTCCTTCCATAGTATGCGTTACTATGCCACTATGGCACGGTATAACAACACTACTAACCTGTAACTTCTAATAGGCCTACTTCTACTACTTATAGTAGTAAATTGAAGTTTTTTGCAACGGTCTTATTTAAGTAAACACACACACATGTGACGTATACGTTAGTATTTTCATTTTTATGCGCATTTTTCGGTAAGTGACAAATACGTTTTGGTGAGCAAAGAAATATGATAAACAAGATCAACAAGGAAAGGCGGCGTTCAATGAACGCAACCCCCATATGACCCAGCTACAAGAACCAGTGGCAAGGAGCCCAGGCGGACCCCAAACAAAAACAGGACAGGGCAAAGACAGAGCACGGACAAACTCAATCCAACCAAACGTATCACGATAATAAGTAGCCAGTAAGATACGGGGCACATACACGGCGTGACATCAGCACATAAGAAGAACGCTTATGATAGCGTTTATAGTGTCTATTATATTTAAAGTTGTTGTCTTAGAATCTTTATATTCGTATGTTCTATGTTTTTGAATTATATTTCGTATTAACAAAGAAATAACGGGGTCAATGTATAAATTTCAAATATAACTTATATAGTTTTCTTACAACGTGTTTCTTTTTAATCAACTTTTATCTTCCTGGTTTCTTTGTTTGATTGCATTGCAAAAGAATGAAGAAAAAACAGCACGATTGTCTTTCTAAACAATGGTGAAAGTCCGTCAGTTAACAATAGTTTTAAGTGGTGTCCCGAGTCATAATAACGCTGCGTGTAAACATACCTTTGATGTTTTCTGGTCGTTCTTCAGAAACAAAGAAATAATTATCAAAGCGGAAAATAAATTAATGAATAAATATACGGAGTACAATTGTACACTTTCGTTGTCCTATTTTAAGACAGATTATTCAATTAGTAATTATAAATGTATTTCAACGCGCACATGAAAGGACCATTAAACCATCTAGCGTAGAAATGTGGATAAGGATTTTACTCGGCACTGGTAAGATTTTTGAATATAATACTAAAGACATAAGAATAAAACATTGATAGAATATAATACTATAGACGACATAAGAATAAAACATGATAGAATATAATACTATAGACATAAGAATAAAACATTGTCTTCTTTCTAAACTTAAGTACGGGTCTTTCCACTAAAAAAAAGAATCGTAAGTTGGATGGGTTCGGCTTTACTTCGTTAAATAAATAAGTATATTAAGCAAGGGCATAAGAAGGGCTCTTAGAACTAGTATTTGAATACCGGAAGCTTTAAATTGTTTGACATCAACGCAAACTAGAAGTGTTATAAATTGATATAAATGAACATTTTCGGAACAATTATTATTGCTTTAAATAAAACTTTTGTGTGAGAACCAGCTATGTTTTATTTACTATTTCCACATTTATATATACAACATACATAAAATATACTTGTAACAGTCCTTTTAATTTTTCTGTGTTATAGCTTTGCTGTACACAGTGGAAGCTGCAGACTGTTATAACAAGTGTACATGTAAGTAAAATGTTTGCCTATATTCTACTTTGTTTCTAAACAAGTACATGTTAGTGCGACAATGAGTTCCACCGATAACAGACATATACAGCGCGCCAAAGCACGTATTCTTCTTGCATATAATGTCAAAACCAAAGAGAAACATAAAATTAAACTGACCCTTAAGTGTCATTGTTTCACAATTGATAAATTTTTAAGATAAAAAGATAAAAAAATGAAACTACAACTTCTATTATTGACATTGATTGTTTTCTAATGGTTAAGTGAAATACTAGTTCATGCACGTATTTGTGTGCGTGTATCATTTTCATAGATGTTGTTCTGAATAAAAATACAATGTATTTACAAGCGCCATTGGCTAAGTTAGCTTTCACGTTTAGGGGAACTTTATAGTATTACTTATAAATATTTTTAAAAGGTTTTATGGCCCTATATAAACGGTTGTTTGTAAATATTATAGCATAAAATCGGCTATTTTTCTCTCTTTTGCCCATGTTATAACGGGACCAAAACCATGTGTTAACATAGTCACGCGCTCTTGTTTTAGCCCGGTTTTACCTATGCGCAATACATACAGGGCCAAGTAAACAAACAAAAAATGACGATTTGGCCTGTTTGCCAAAGCGTTATATTGAAATTATTGTCGAGGGCCTCAATCGCATAACGGCAAGCAGCATTCAAGTAACTATGCCATAGACATCGCCGCTAATCTTGGTTGTCACCCTTTCTAAGAAACGGACAGTTGTCAATGTAAACAAATAAATGTCATTCAGTTAAACCCTCAAGTTAACTTACAAAACAAGATAACACAAAATGAATATGAGAAAATGTTGTTTTATTGATGTTTATATTGATAAATGCTCTTTATATTTCTTTGAGAGAATAATGTCTAGTGTCTGATATTCTTTTATAAACTGGTGGGCTTGAAATAAAAACGATTCTGATGTCACTGATCTTTTTTCTGCCGTCAATCTGAAATCATTCTAAGAATTTCTGAGGGTCATGTTTTGTCTTGGGCAAAGTAATTTAATGTTGTTTTTTTTTTTTAGTTAATAAATCTCCAATGATAAGCTTTGTTAAATCAATTTTCGAACGGTTCTGAGCATTTGAATTTCCCAAGTAGTTGACCCCGGAAAAAAACGCATACGTAAAACATGTAGAATTGGATAAATACCGTCCAAGCACAAGGATTTGTGTGTTTTGTATTAAATATACATCATGAATCTAAATTTTATGCTATAATAGCGTCAACGCACGTTTATTTCGTGTGATAAAGTCTGCAGAGTTCCTCGGAACAGTTGGAGCCCTCGCCCTATCGGGCTCGGGCACCAACCGTTCCGCGGGACTCTGCAGACGTTCAGACGTTATAACACGGAAAAACGTGCGTTAACCCTATATTATCCAAGCCGCTAGGTTATATTGCAAACAACCATATAACCATATAACGGCCATATAACCTGAAATATTTATAACGAATTTATAATACAGCAAGCATTAATTTTTAGAGGAATAAAGCGAGATTTCTTTATAAATCGGCAGCAGCAGTGCATATAAAACTATATAAAAGTCACGATTACCCAATGAAAAGGGACGTTACAAACGTGCAGTATTATCATACTTTATTTATAATTAACTACCTTATATAGTCACCCTTTAATTATATTGCTGCCTGCTTTGAAACTTAGACTTTTGACAATTGTCTGTGATACGCGGGCTTCACAACATAACATATGATTCCTTTCCCAAATTCAATTTATTTGGTTCCGAGGAGGGGTGGGGTAGAAACCCAACATAATTTTAGAATTTCAGGTCGTATTATGAATTTTAAATTTCTTTTTTTAGCTTCACAAATATGCTTAGACGATGGTTCATGCTACGAGCAGTCGGAACTAACCTATTGTGGTATGCTAACTTAAAAATCCTGTAACTCATTTTTTATGGTTTTATATCATAAATATGATGCTCAAATGAAAATTTATCAATATTGTAAGTTTCAAAAAGCATCATTTGTAAAGATATTACCAAATTTACATTTCATTTAAATAAAAGGAGGTAATTAGAAATTTATTTTTTATAAAGTCTAAGGCATCTTTTAAAATAAGAAATGAATGCAATTAAGATAATGATTACATATAATGCAAATAAATATTTGCAGTACATATTTTACATATTCATGTATGTTTGAAAATCGTTTTAGAAGCATAATTATATACATATATTAAATTTCACTTAAGTGTGGTTACATCCTCAGGCTCGCCCATATGGTCTCTTTCCGATGGCGAGGGTAAAAAGAACCCAAACACACACATAGTAACATCTTAAATCATAACATACAGGATCTTTAAACAGTCTTGTTAAAATGGTATGCTAACTTAGACAGTAACGTTTTCAAGCTACACAAAAAGCGTGTGAACCCAGCTTCTTATAAAATAATGCGGAACTGTGAAATTCTCAGTGACTGGAAACAAATGGGAATTCTGACATCAATATAAAAATATATCAATAATTATTATACTTATTTAAATAAAAACAATTAATACAAAATATCATGACCTCAAATTTTCTTTTATGGGGGTTACTTGCTTTAAATTGCTGTCTGAAAGTGTCTGACATTTATCCTTTGACACTTAATTAAACAAAAAAGTAAGCCGCAGTTGCTAAGCAACTACCCACAATGCAATGCAATGCAACAGGATGTATAAAAACATGGCTTCTAAAACCAGGATGTAAATTATTATGGTATCCTGCATTTACAAGTATAACTTTCCCTCAATAAACGGATTTAAGTTATATTCCTCAGCAGTTACAAAACCCTGATTATAACTTTATGAAAATAAAGTCAAGCTTTAAAGTAAGGGTCTATCTGTCTCTATAAGAGTTACTAAGGACTAGGGGGGTATTAAATAATGTTTAAGGTATCATTTACTGTCATTATACTTTGTTTTAACGAGTCTCGTATAAATGAGTTTCGTTGTTGTTGTTGTTATATTAACTCTCATTCATAGGGTTCAGATGGCCAGATTATTTGTACTGTGAAAGAGGACATACTTGCTGTGATGAGTTTAGTTGTTGTCGTACCGGGTACATTTGCAGAAAAAGGAACTGCGTCGTCGATAAGTAAGAACTTTGAGTTCTTGTGTAGATCTAATGTATCAATAATAATTTGTTGGGAAAATAAATATCGATCACTTTTTATATGTTTATTTCTGTTAGCGCATTATCTTCTGATAGTAATGCAATGCAATATTACAATAATAATAAGTATAACAATGACGTAACGTTATAAAAGTGCCGAAAACATCAAAAATACAAAGTAGCACGGAAAATGAAATATTCTTATACTATAATTACAAGTATTGAATTGTAAGAAATATGCTTATAATAAAATTTCTATTTCAGGAAGGTATTTTTTAAAATTTATATTGACAAATTATAGAAGTAAATTAAATGTTTGCATTACTAATGAGTATTTTTTAGAATACTTAAATAATAGTCATCTTCTAGTTCGACGACAAGATCAACACAGCCAACAAGAAGACGGTGGTCACATAGAATATCTACTGTCAAACCTAAAACATATTCAACACGAAGACCAATAACACTTTTCCCAAGACTCGCAACAAACAGGTAAATAAAAAAGTTAAATGTTCCCCAAATGTTAAGCGAAATATCTATGTTTAATTTAATTTAATCACTAAGCTTTGCGGGCAGCACATCGTCCGTGCCATCCGTGGCATTTCAAGATTGAAAGATAAACGGGTCAATTTCATGATATTTTGCAGGATAAAAATCAATCTTTTAGAAACAAATTGTTAACGATTGTATTTTGATTGTTAAACGTCTCAGCAAAATAACGCCTGCCTTTTGACATACATTAATTCTAGAGACATAACGACAGACATGTGTATATATGTTCTTATTTGTCGACTATGGTTATTTTAATTGCAGAAAAGAAACATTCACCTGGTCACATAAATCAATATATTTTAAATGGTGTTAAATTTTTTTACTGCATGTCAATGTTTTATGTCTGTTCATTCCTTTATAAAAACGAATTGTAACAAAGCGATTATGGCCGTAGAAAAATTAAAACAATAACGAAAACCATTAGAAATATTTATGAGTAGAAATAGTCAAAGCATTAGCTTAATAAGTGGTGCAATAATCGCTTCATTTTAAAATATGTCTCTGGGATTAAATAATTTCAGATAAAATATAATGATAAATGTATATTTGTTTTTAACCATTTTTCTCGAGGGATGTATCATTTCCAGAATTCACATGACCATGCCAAACTTGATGTGACAAAAATAAACAAAATATACATGAAACACAATAGATATATTACTTACATACGACGTAATTCAAACATATGTTATGATATTTCAGCTACACGTTTACTGTACCTAAATACAGCTACAGTTCCTCTACTAGTAGGTACAGATACCGCTTTCCAATCATCGGAGGTACTATAGTAATTGTAAGCCTCATAAATGTTCTTATGTGTGTTTGCTGCAAAAAATTTAAAGGTGTGTTTAGAAATTTTATATTCCACGTGTAGTAAATTGTGTTTGATTATCGTGACAATTTGACAAATAGGTGTTCATTCTAAACGAAAATCATTGAAAAATGCAATAATATCTCATTATAAATGTTATATTCTTACTTTATCAGATACTTAAGCTTAGAAGCAAATTAGTTTTCCAATTTAAATCTGGAGTGTAATCATGGAAAGTATATTTTAATTTAACAAATATTTATTCCATTACACCTATATAAATGTAACATTTTTTCTAAACAGAGGTCTGTCGAAGACTTCCAAATCATCATAATACCAGTTCATTTGTTACAAATGTGGTCCGTCCAAAATTATATTTGCATTTTATTACAATATGCATTCTTTTATCAATGTAAGCAAAAATTTATTATCAAGATTAAGTTGTTTGTTTGCTATGTTTTTGTTTGTATGTTTTTTAGTCTTTTTATTTGCAGATCAAGGCAGTCGTCAAATAAGAAATGGGCGTATAATAACAACCCCGACCAATACATACTTATATGCACCAACTCATGGAAACCCTGCTACAAATGCGGCATCCAGTATTTAAAGATCAGATATTTCGGTTTCTATCAACGAGTTATGTTCTTCAAGCTACAGAGAATTTTTTAACATCATCATTTTATATACTCGTAGATATAATATATTACATATATGAGCCGCGTCACGACAAAACCAACATCCGCGCAGTCTGATCAAAATGCGCAGGCTGGTCTGGATTCATGCTGGTCGCAAACGCATTACGTTGGTTTTGTTATGGCGCGGCTCATATAATTTATATACATTTGTTTGAAGATAAGTTTTCGTGATTGATATACTAGTAATTGTGGACAAGATTACGGCTTTGATTTGATACAAGAATGTAAACCTGTGTTTACTTGATAAAAAGATGGACTTTTTTTTGTAAAATATCTGAAATATTTTTTCTAGTTCTTGTCATTTTAAGTGTATTTAACATTCAACGTGTGTATGGAAATATGTCGTCAAAATATAGAATTTTCTTACTCATTTTGAACTTTGGTAGATCGTGGGCGATAAAATAGTAAATTCTGTATTTTTTCTTAGTAATACAGCTCCTGGATTTTCAGACTATATATATGTTTCTGATTTTTGAAGATTTATCTTACTCTTGCCTTTCACTCATCTACGGGCACGTTACTTTGAAGTTGTATGCTACAATTCAATATACAGGGAAAATCAATGATAGAATTTATCTCAACTTTGCATGATGACATACACATTTTAAGCGAATCATAAAGGGACGTCTAACTCGTTCTTGAGTTATCTTACCTTGAATTTGAAAAAAAAACTGCTTATTTCAACTGACAAATGAATGACAGTTATGTTTAGCAGGGACTTATTGTTACTGCTTCGTTCAGAGCAGAACTCCAAAACCATACAAATTAATGACTTGAAACTTAAGATAATATCTAGGCCAAGAACAAGAACTCTGTTTGGCTCCGTTTCATATTGTTATTATCTCCCTTTATTTTTTTCTTCTTTTATGTCCATAGTTTACATGGGATTGACTTACAACCAGGACTTATGCAAAGATCAAGAACCATAATAAGCTCAAGTCCTTTTTATAATTGTCTCCCTTTGTTTAGTTTTAAATTATTTTGCACAACCTAAAAACTCTAAAACTACTTAGAACTTTAGAGATAAAAAACAAGATAAGGAGACATGCAGAAGCAGAATTTCACACTCTCAAAAGAAGAAATTCTTTTTGGGATAATGATCCAACGAAAACGAATGAAACATTAAATTTTATTTTTCTTATTGCAAAAAGATATATTTACACGTGTAGGATAATAACCAAAATTTTAACATACAAACTTTTTATTAAACGTTAGTTTTCCATTATAATGTAGAAAGGTATATCCAATATTCTTCCTGTAACTGGCATAAATTTTCTGAGTGTTTCAAGAGTGTTTTCTTGGCCTTATCTTAAAAATAATATAATAAATATATTTTTGGTGACACATCATGAAAAAGCTTCAGACAACTAGTATATCATGCATACATATTTTACACTTCTAATGCTGATAAGATATGATATAATGTTGATATGATACAGAATCATATAGATATTAAGATTGCTGGAACTATGGGCTGTGCCACCTGTATGTTGGCTCATCGTGAAGTCGGGGGTACTCCTGACTCCCGACACATTTGGAGGTCGATGGTCGGGAGTGCAACTGGCACGGCCTGGGGCGCGCGTTGTCGCAGGAAGACCGCTTCTAGGTACCAGGTCGTGCTCTGGTTGAGTTCAGGTCCACGATAGAGTGGGCAGAGACTATCAGTTCCGGCTGATTTTTAATATTATTTGAATCTTCTTATGTTTTATGTAATTGGGAGCTTTGAAAAACTACCTTTTCTTCGAAGATTATTATAAAGGGAAATAAATAAGTTAACGTATGTTAGGAAATTTATAGTAGTTATCCTTCTTTATGAGACATGACTTTTTAGAAGCATAGCAATGCTAATGTATGTGGAATTTTGTCATTTTCTTTCTTTTACAAGATTTTCATTTTTTGCATTTATACACAAATTTAAGCTACTCCAATAATTACATATAAAGATCCTGTGATGAGAGTAGTATTTTGATCAACTATCTCGTTAGGAGACATGAAATGTGGTTTATTTTAATTGAGATAATCCTTGTCCACGGTGTTTATAAGTATACCTACCATATATGTGAACTACACATAACATAATACTTTTATATAATACTTTTTTACTCTTTCCACGGGAAGACCTAATTTGTTTTTCGTATACACTTTTCGTTTAGGTTATCTTGCTTGGACAATTTGGAGGACCGGATGAAAAAAATATATAAATAAACTGTATATAAATGAAAGTAAAACTATCTCAAAAACCATCTGTTCATAATTATTATATAATGCAAGTATAAACCATTGTTTTCTTTTTAACGTTCTATTATCTCATCAATTTCAAAATTTATACTATAAATGTAATGTGAAAATCTTATGTCTCCTTTTTTTAATGTTTAATGATTTACTGTATGATGTGTATTTGTATGGTTATGTACGATTGTATGATTTCGATTTATTAATAAATGGGGTTCCACATTTGTGGACCTGAAGCTGAAAAATAAAAGAATTTCACAATATCTGCTCCTGTTTTTGAATTATGTCCAATTATTTTACTTCGAAATCATTTGCTCAAAGCATTACTCTAAAACTATCGAAAAGATAAACTTGAAAAAAAATGATGAAAAGATAACTCGAAGAAGTGCAATGACCAGGTTTCAGTATTGTACATCTATAATTACTTTAAGCATAAGTATTCATTAGCTTGAGGTTAACCAGGCTTTTTTTACCGTATACCAGTATTAAATGTAATATATACGGAATGTGTACGATGGTGTTGAGTTTTTACTGAACACGATTAATAATGAGGATAAAAATAATATGTTTGAAATTAAAATATGTTAGACGTCTGATATTTCTTATATTAACTGCATTATACCCTTTTAATCCTTTAGAAAGGTCTAACGTGTGTTTAATTATGTTTGAATGATACATTTAGAGAATGTTAGATATGTTTGTTTCATTTTACGCCTTTTCCCAACAGTATTTCAGTCATATAGGCGGGTAGTTCCCTAACCATCGCTCCTGGAGAGTTACACCAGTACAAGACTACCTTCCTCCGCGCTAAACTGCCAAAGCATCTCCCGGGGATCGAACCCACGCCAGAGAGGTAACTGGATTAGAAGTCATCGACTCTAACCCCTCGACCACGGAAATGTTAGATGTAAACAAGTGGAGAAAAAACGCTGAATCGAAAAGGTAGCAAAATGTAAACAAAGAAGTAACAAAGTCACTAATTAAACCAATTGCAAGAGTAAAATAAGCAAAAGATATACTTCATAAACATGGTGAAAGTTATCAAAAATAAAAAAAAAATTGACAAATAAATATTTTAAAGCATTTCCATTTGGAGACTTTATTGGGTCTTTAAGCAGTGTACGGAGAGCGGATGTTTACGCCACTCAAGATATGGGCGAACCTAACTTGGATTGGGATTTGTGGTTTTTTCCACATTTGACTATTTTACATATATAGACTGCATATCATAGACAGATGTATACTGCAAACAGCATATGAGAAGAACTATCAATACATGGGAGCCTGCTAAAACATACATACATATTTTATGAAAATAATCACTCTAGTATAATAACATTCAATACAGTTATTTATTTATTAAAATTATCTGAAATGAACCAGTTTCCTTTAACTAGCTGGTTAACTTTCGTCATTATGAATATATTGAACCATTCCAACAACTTTACTTCAAATATGATTTCACTAAAATTTGCATTAGCGTTGCTGATACACACAAATGTATGTTTTACAACTTGACTAATAACCGGTATTAACTTCTGATCTTGTTTAGTCATTTGATGTAAGCAGATATGGAGATTCATTTACATATAACATAAATTGTTCTGGTATAGGAAATGGCGAAAAATAGCGTCCTGAAGCAAATCCTTTGTCAAAGATAAATATATGTGTTTTATAAAAGATATTTTAGGAAAAACAACAACAGCGAAAACATAATATTTTATTGTATATAACTACATGTATAACGAAACAATCACAACCTTAAAAAACCTATATAGACTTAACAATACAGTGACTGATACATACATGTATATTGGATGATTAAACAATTGTTATGGTCAATTCTGTATGGATAAAGGAACAATAAAGCAGAAAATATCTTTGCCGTTATCATCTTGGACTTCCCACTTCACAGCCAGTCGTAACTGAAATAAAACAACTATTTTATGTCAATAACTGTAATTGAGATAATTTTGAGATATCATCTAAATATAAGTAAATATTTGAAATATATAAAGCAAAATATGATAAATAATAATAAGCTTATTCAGATGGTCAAGATATGTTTTTTGTGTTTCGAGTTATAATTGCGAAGAAATGCTTTCTTCTTGTAAATAAGGCGGACGCACCAGAGGTTCGGGAACAGGACTACGTCTCACACTTGATATTATTAACTTTATGGATAGCTCGTATAATTCCGCAAGCTTTCTATTGATAGAATTCTTGTTTGCAACACGTCTTAATTAATTATCTTATTTAATTAATTTTATAAGGCAAGGAAGGTATTACAATAATATGGACTTTATTAGTGTAAGTCCTAGAGAGAAACTAAAATTACATCGACGATAGTACTCATATGACGAATAAATCCCCGATAAAACCGGAAGTTGATAATATATCATTTTTATGCATCGTGCTTATTTTTTAGTATACTTAACAAAAATGAAATGAAATACTCAGTATGTTAATTAACTATAGTAACCAAGCTAATAAAGAACACACCACAACGTATTACAGGCGCTAGTGATGACAGATTGCTGCCGCGATGTCAGCACTAGGAACCATTTCATTGCTAAAGATTTGCTTCCTACTATCAGGTTATTTTGGACTCGTTTCCATATTTCATAATAGAATGTCTTTAGCGGTTTTAAAATGGTAGCTTTGTCCGTGGAAAGGGTTGTTTTTTGTACTAAATATCTCAAGTGTGTATGCAGAAATGTATTTTAAGGCAGCCAGTGATGACAGAAACGCTTCGATAGTTTCTGACAGGAAATTTAGATCACTCTCGGGTAACAGGTTTTAGCGACATAAATCAGTATCAAAGATTATTATAAAATGGTCGGGTCACACTTTATCAATAAAATTTAGAAATAATATTACTATATAATATGGATAAGTTTTGTTCTTTTGGGATAGTTATGTGAAATGGCTAATGAAATATGATAAACAAGATCAACAAGGAAAAGCGGCGTTTAAAGAACGCAACCCCCACATTACCCAGCAACAAGAACCAGTGGCAAATGAAGCTTTGCAAAAATACAAATAAAATGTGCCAAAAAATGTGACATTTCTTGGTAAGGGTGGCTAATAATCAGATCAAATGGATGCCGAACTTTATTCTAATTGCTTATATTCTGAAATTAATGTAGTTTTAATTTTACATTTTGGGAGAAATGATACTACACCAACACTTTACCAAGAGATATATTCAATCGAATGCCAGTTATTATTAAAGGACTCCATTAAAAAAAAATTATGCGGGTGAAACACATATAAGAGGAAATTTTACAACATGTCCTGGATTGACAAAAGAAATATTTGAGAAACAGCGCCAAAACATGAAATGAGTTAGTTGAATTATTGAATTGAAACAGCAGTGCAAAATTATCTGATTGGGGGGACATATTCGTAAATTGCCAGAAAGTTGATAAAGTGTTCTTTTCTGCGTGAGGGATGTTGCACCTTTTCATTATCAATCAGGTACAGACACAGTGTGACGAAACATTTGCCTATGAAAGATGACCCACATTGTTCAACCCGATCTGGCAAGGTAATTGGAAGTGAGTCGGACAGTGTGTGGGCGAGCATTATCCTACATTTGAATAAAATCTTGACCCACTTTTTCTGCATATGGTAAGAATCTTGCGACAATACGTTTCTGCTGTCATTGTCTCGATGTCAAAAACATGGAGGTCCGTTTTGATATTGACTCCCTTTCCTTCCCATGCCATGAGAGACCTTCTGTAATATCGGTCGTGCTCCGAGACCAAAGTAGGTTCAAAGCTTTAACTTAGTCTTCTTCACACTCCATCTGTGAAGTCGAGGCAAAATCTAGACTTATCAGTTAACAATTGCAGTGTCTCCATTTCACATGATCACGCTTTCTCTATCAAGGGTACACGAATGACAGGAATGTGCCATTCATACCAGCATCATGCAATCAATCCCTTGGGTAGATACCCGTATATTTGTTAATAAAGTCAGGAAACGTTCAGGAAACAATTGCACCGGACCTGAACAACACTCTATCGGTCTTGTGCAACTAGAACGGCTACTATCGTATAAATGTGCTACATTTCCTCCCATTTGGAAACGATTCCACACTCTGGGAAACATTGTTGCGGGCAACCTACCTCTGAGCATGCCTGTCTGCTAGACTGCTACATGAGAACTGGACACGGAGGGGAACACCAACAACACTGAACGCCGAACAATCCCTTGCGGATGAAAACATGCGAACATTGATTTCATTGATTGCATGAAAACTTTATACAGACTTTATACAGCCGCCACACGGCACAAACAATTCGGTTGTGAGCTTGTTATAACTCCTAATTAAAGTGACGAAAGTCCTCATTAGGCTTTCATAACTCATGACCATAGTTAGCTTTCTTATTCTAGAACATAAATTTTGACACCAAATAAGTTGTCATTTTGATTCCAGCACTTCTGTTATCATCGGCAGTCTTGAAAATTCATTTCTGCCAAAAATGTATTTTCACTACGACCGGGCTAATTTGTAGGCGTGATATACTACTTTGGGATTGATAGGGTTATTAATTTTATGTAACCCATATTTAGTTAGTATGAGATATCTTTAATATGTTTGTTTTTCTTCCCTCGAATACCAACAACATTAATTATTTTAAGCGGGGCCTGGACATTTTTATTCCTATATAATCATGTAAGTTATTTATGATATTACCTGTGGGTATGATGGACTGCAGTAAACATAATTAGTGTACATGTCAGTTACACCGGAAGTAACGGGACATTTCAAGTTGTGGTTGTTGCAGCAGTCTGAAGGGACCGGAAATGGCACTGGGCACACCGCCAATTATTCCATGTACAACCGTCTTTGCTGCTACTGAGTTTTCCACTAAACAGAGGTAAACATAAATATATCAGCTCTAGATTTTCACATTTGAGTTATATGAAAAACGAACAACATCAAAAAATAATTTAAAAAAAATAACGCACCGAAATTTATTAGTGGTTAAATATAATTCCAAACTTTAACTTCATGAATTGAATCCGTGGGGTTGACGTCTATATGCAAATGAAATCGAGTGTAAATGAATATTTTGGAAATAAGTCGGATAATTGCGAAAGAAAATACCGTCAAAAATTTATATGAATACAACTTTTGGAATCAACATTATATTAAGGCTATGGTAAAGATACAAAATTCATAGATTCATGAAAATATTAGCTTACAAGCTGTGAAGTTAACTTTTGCTGTGTAGTTTGTTCCATGATGGAGTACACACAAGGGTCACTGTTCACATGGAGACAAATCTAGAGAATTTATTTTACCACCTAGAGAACCTGCAATAAAAATAGACAAATAAAATAGTGCAATTCTGAAATAAACGAACTTTAATTATATTATAATTTTGTCCTCTGTCTTAAGCGATTAAAGTTAATAAAGGTCTTATGATAATAAATCAAACAAAGGATTGATAAAGTTACCCTTTATATCTTTATCATAACTGATAAATTACTCTCTATATATATATGATAACACGCCTAAACGAACTTATTACACATTTTAACATTAATAATGCTAAATATTGAATGGTATATTTAATCAAATGTATTTCATTTTTATGTACAAAAACAGAAACTATAAGTACAACTCGACTTTGCCAAACATGTACATGTTTTACAAAAGAACATATATAAACAATATCCCCCACCCCTAAGAATAAGTTTACTGCATTGACAACGCCTTTGAGTTTTGTTGAAAATATAACTGTAGGGTGAAACTGATAATTCATTGCTTCCAAAGTTGTACTTTCTTAACGTCGCTAACAAAATAAAGCATCTAAGCATATAGTGCTCAGTAAGTTTGTCATAAACTGTATCAAAAAAATCAAATTTTTAATATAATTTTTAAAAAAGTATATTTTATTTTATAAGCCTAATTTTATTTTGTAAGAAAAAAAGCATAATAAAAAAAAGTTACCACGTCTTTTTAAATTTATATTTCCCAAAAAATATCCTACAGTCAGGAAAAAAAAAAAACGATCAACACTTTAAACCCAAGCCATCATTGAATAAATTTTTAGGGATTTGTTTCTTCC